GTATTTATGAGCTTCAAATGGAGCAAATACAGTACATGTATTTATGAGCTTCAAATATGCTTCAAATGGAGCAAATACAATACATGTATTTATGAGCTTCAAATAGAGCAAATACAGTGCATGTATTTATGAGCTTCAAATGGAGCAAATACAGTACATGTATTTATGAGCTTCAAATGGAGCAAATACAGTACATGTATTTATGAGTTTCAAATATGCTTCAAATGGAGCAAATACAGTACATGTATTTATGAGCTTCAAATATGCTTCAAATGGAGCAAATACAGTACATGTATTTATGAGCTTCAAATGGAGCAAATACAGTACATGTATTTATGAGCTTCAAATATGCTTCAAATGGAGCAAATACAGTACATGTATTTATGAGCTTCAAATGGAGCAAATACAGTACATGTATTTATGAGCTTCAAATGGAGCAAATACAGTACATGTATTTATGAGCTTCAAATATGCTTCAAATGGAGCAAATACAGTACATGTATTTATGAGCTTCAAATATGCTTCAAATGGAACAAAGACAGTACATGTATTTATGAGCTTCAAATATGCTTCAAATGGAGCAAATACAGTACATGTATTTATGAGCTTCAAATATGCTTCAAATGGAGCAAATACAGTACATGTATTTATGAGCTTCAAATGGAGCAAATACAGTACATGTATTTATGAGCTTCAAATGGAGTAAATACAGTACAGGTGCAGATGAGCTGGAATGTGCAGCTTAGCGATGTATAGTTGATCACCACGGAAATTTTCAACTCCTTGGAAATGTGAGAACGATGTGTGAGAATGATTTATTTTTAAAGACTGATGTCATGCTTACAAGAATGAAGAATGTAAAACACATAGGCCTTTTTGAGACAACTGAGCTGTGGTTTTGTATTAAAGAACAAAACATTTTGTCATTTTTTTGGAACAATTTCCAATTGATTGCCATTTAGTAAAGATACCTAATACACCTCAATATTTTACACAGTGGCTTAATTACAGTGAAACAAATAGTGGTTGCATTTATATTTAAAATAGATGAATGAACTAACAAATAACATTTGGTTTATGATTGGCACAATTGTTATCTTCAGACAATGTACATTAAACGGAAATTAATAGACATTGTATATATATTTTTATGTTATTTGTACACTCATTCTGTAGGTTTGTATATGTTTTTCATGTTGCAATTTGTCTATGGCTGTTCAACTGATTGTACTTGTTTTCTTTAAAAATTGTTTAAAACCATCAGTGTGTAAAGTAGTGAATAGATCTATTGAAAGAAATCCATTAAACCATTCAGAGCACTCACCATCTCAACACAAATATGGAACACAGGAGTCACTGTCCTATTTTTTCCCAGTAATATGCAACATACAGACTGCTTATACATAAATATTTATTGGTATTAAACAGAGATTACGGGGGCACTCTATCTAAATCTCCATGTAGTTGTAAAATTGATGGATTGAAACTGGCAGGTAAAGCAATCTGTTGATTCTGTCCACAATGGTGGAAAATCTGAATTTGGTATTTATCTGGAATAAAAGCTAAATAAAGCTCTAAAAAAATATTGAATAAAAATATGGTATCACAAATGAGTCTAGTTTATTTATATTAGAATGTCTTCTTTTAAATTCTGCACTTTAGTGTGGTTTGAATAACTGGGTATTTAGTTTCCCTGTGAAGCCACTATTAATCATAGCTATAATGCAGTGAACAGCTGTTTAAGAAGTGGCACCCTATCTTTTGGATTTTGGTTTCAGCTGTTGTCTATGGTTTAATGTGGATTTGTTTTGAAGAATAAAGGTTGTAGAAGTGTTATGCAGTAACCCCCCTCTAATCTGTCCCTGAATGTTCTATTATTGGGATCATTTTATTCGTCCGGCAATCATCACCGACGAAAACAACAATCGAAAACTATTAGAAAACTATACTTTAGACTAGTTTTTGAAACTCTTCTGAAGAGTGTAACAAGATTGACCCTATTCTACATGTGCAACATGTATGAATTTGGTTGTTCAAGATTACCTCAAAGTTTAGTCTGTCTGTTTTCTCAACTTCAGCTTTATCGATGCATGTATCATGAAGCGTATTCATTAAAGCTTAAAGTTATATGAATTATTACGTGTCTTGACTGATACATCCAGGGTATGATGTGCTCAGTCAAGCTTATAATACATATTGCCAGCCAATGATACACATCAAACAGTTCAAGTTTAAAAAGATTATTGATAACTGTGATTATTTTTGGAAAGTTAACTTGACATAGATCAACTAAGAGGCATAATGCTCCAAAATATGGGCATTTAATTGTGCTTAATGTATAAGGTGAACATTTGTCCTTGCGTTGCTCAGACACAGAGCACATGTTCGATTAGAAATGTATACTTACATTCCTATGGCTATTTGATATACACACCACAGCAGCCTGCTAATAAATTATTCTAAAACAACGTTTGATCTCTTAATATTTCATTTCTTTTTTCTCCAGACACTTGCTGATATGACTGATCTCCTGTCTTCAGCAGGCAATTTTTGTAATTATAGAAAAGCTCTTCAAGAAAGTAAAGCATTTAAAATTCCAATTTTGTGAGTATAGATTTTCTTTATTAGCTAGGTGTTTGTACCTTGCAATCTCAAAGCTTCCTTTCTTGTGAAATAAACTATATTATATGCCACTGTGACGTTTGTTCAGTTGTATTTCATTTCTAATAGTTGGTATATAAAATTCAAATATCCTGAAATAAGATATTTTGAAAAAAAAAAATGACATTGTGACCTTGATAACATACATGCAGTATGTCATCCCTTTGATCCTATAGTGAAATATAACCTCCATATTTGACGAATTAAAATATTTTTACCATGTAGTGTGAACTCTTTTTTTTTGTTATCTCTATACACATTAAAAACTCAACCCCTTGAATTGATCATCTGTTCTTACAACGGTTTATGAATTCTGATCAAAACTTTTATATTTCATGTATTATACTTTAAAATTGAGCAGTACAGGGGGTTACATTTGGAACATTATATTATAACTTTGTATCAAATTTCATTCACTGTTAATATTTAGGTACATCCAAACCTTATACTAACATGTAAACTGAGTTGTTTTGTACCAAGACAAAATCAACACTTTCCAAAATAGTTTCTAAAATAATTTACAGAAGTATACCTATAGTTTTAAATTAAAAATATTCATTATCATGGTTCCTCCATCAACTGTGAAGTGTTCCACAAGCTTTGAGCAAGTAATAACCGTTCATGTGATGTTTGTACACCTGGATTATTTTCTACTTTATCTTTCTAACTTTATTCTTTTCTTTCCAATCTCTCTTGGATATTTGAATAATAATAATAATAAAGAGGTAAGACATTAGTTACAAAAGACTTTTGTTAAGCATGTATAACTTTTAAATGTGCATGGGCTGCATTTTTTGTCAATTCTTTTGGTATTTTTATTCAAAATAAAAGCACATGAGTGAAAATGTTAGTTTGTATTCATGATAATTCCATGCAAGTAACTTTTTAACGTTTACAAATCTGTGTCCGTCTGTTCAACTGATATCTCAAGAACCATAGGTTGGTTTTTGATGAAACTTGATGCATAAATGTTCTGAGCTAATGTGTAGATTTGATTAGGTTTTGGTGTAAATCCATGCATATTAATTACCTAATTTGCATGATAATTAGCTAATTTTTGGCTGTTCCCAGACTGTTCCACTGATATCTAAAGAACCATTAATTGGATTTTCATGAAGCTTTGTGCATAGAAGATTTGGGACAATCTGCAGACTT